GGCTCTTGATTTCTTTGATATTTTTATATTGTGATACTATCACATGTCACCAGATGTCACTAAAATGTTAGGTCTGGGCTGTCTGAACTTACTAAAATGTTTTACTGAAGTAAAATAAATATGAAATATAACATAAAAATAGGCATATTTTACATAACATATGGTACTTTTAGAGGTAAATAAAGAAAAACAAACAAAAATCACAAAAAAATCCTTTATCGAAGATAGTGATGTGACGTTGGGATCACACCTGAGCCCTTCCTGCCCAGATGTGTCCCTCAGAAAGCACGAGTTATGCGGTCACCTGTATGAGTTTCTGCACGTCTTGCTTCGTCAGAGTCCTGTCCGCGTTAAAGCGGTTCCGGGGGTCCAGCACGACAGCTTTGACCTGGACACACAAGTAGCGTTACGCGCTGGAGCTACAGCATGCACCGCTGGTCTGTCGCTTCAGGCCCACTCACTCACCGTGAAGGCGATGAGCGTCTCGGACAGAGCCTGTCCTCTGCTTGAGCACGACTGCGCGATTTCCCGGATGATGCTTCTTATAACGCCTTCAGCCCGAGTGCGCGACATCTTTACACCGCGACAGCGTGTGACGGTAACGTTACAGAGTTTCGAGGCTGACTGCTGTGTTGTGCGGCGCGGCGGCGGCGGTTGTCATGGAGACGGACTGCGCCGGATGCGCCGGAAGAGAAGCACACGCGTCTGTCTGTCGCAGCCAGACACTACAGTGTATCACAACACTAGCAAGTCCTGAACAGAAATATGATATGCTAGAATCAAAAAAGCGAAAATCTCTTCCGAATACGCACTCGTTGATGGGTCACTCATTCCTAGTATTAGGTGCCATTTGAGTCCCCATGACATACCCATGTGGTATATTTTGCGTAAAAATGGGTTAATGCTTGTTTCTGAATGCCAATCTTACAGCGTGACTGCCCCTCTACAACCAAACACAATAAGTATGTGCTTAAAAATAATTAATTAAAAATGATTACTCTTATTTTAGTGCAAGTAGGCTAAAATGCCATGTCCCCAAGTAAACTTGCATAACTTCAGCCACAAATAGAAGTAATACAAATCAAACAAATTCCAATTTGTTCAATCTAGCTGTATATTCTGTTACGTCTGGTGTCTAGTTCAAACTAGCAGAGAGAGCGTGGAGGAAGGAGACAGACATCAGGGCGCTTGAGGTTCAGTTCTCTGTTGGGTTGATGATCAGCTTAATCATCAGTTCAGCTGGAGGGTAAGGTAGGGTGGAGGATACCCATACGTTTTCTCCTGTTTAATGGTTAGTTAGGGAGTGAGGGAAGTTATATGTTGTTTTGTTTATTTTCTTAAATGTATAGGTAATTTAATATTTTCCCCTTTTAGGTAGAGGGTTTTTTTGTTGGTTCGGGCCCTCCTCCCGAGGTAATGTTTCTTTGTTTGTATTTACTGTTATTTTTGTATTAATGCTATCCTCTTTTTTGTTGAATCCCTTGATTGAGTTCAAATTAAAAGGCACCCAAGCCGTTTTTAAACGCAACTCTGTGGTTGGTTGTGATTTCTGGGCCTGGAGAGCTGGAGATCCTCAAAGTCTCTCCACTATTTATTGTTCGTCGTTCCCATGTACCCCTAGACCAAAAGGGGAGGACGTAACAATTCTTATTTATAATATTCATCAACAAAATATATTTTGTTATTTATACATTTTTAATGCTCTTTAAAATATGTTGTGTCCCTGAATTGAACGTCCCTCCCCGTTACTCTGATGAAAAGTCCCTCTGAGCACGGCCCTTGAATGCTTCTCTAATAACATGATTCTCAGGAAGTATAACACTTTAACTATCTACAAGAAGCAGAGTAATTCATCTTTGATTCACCCTATTTTCAGTGTTTTATAATGATTCACTGATGTGGTAAAGCGTAACATGTCCACTCAGTTATGCTTATTTCTAATGTAAATTAATCATGTTTTGTCATTTTGAAAATGTGGTTAATAAGCAGGTTAGAAATCTTCCTCAGTGATCACTACGCGCTAGCTCGTTGTTTATCACGAGTAGCAATAGCTGACTTTAGCATAAAATGTCCCTCCTGTTACTGATTTGCACTGTGGACATATCGTAACATTTGATGTAAAAATGACATAAGTCTTTAAAGCATGTATTGGTACTTAATTAATTTATTATGCATTTAAAAGAAAGAGTTGCTTAAATAGTATGCATGTAATTGTCAAGAAATGGCGCCGCTGTCTGCTGAAGAAAAGCAGTGAAGCTACAGGGCTCCTTGTGATGCACACCCTGAAAGAAGGCAGATATACCTCAATAAAAAGGGGAGGTGGAGAAAGGACATAAAGGAAGGAAGAAAAAAACTCAGCTTTGTTGATTTGGTAGAAACGGTAATAAACTATCTTGACTTTGCCATTACAGTGTGTGTGTGTGTGTGTGTGCTGGTATTCCCTGCATTACGGGGTCCAAATGTCCCCACAGGTATAGTAATAACAGTAAACTCTCATCTTGTGGGGACATTTATTTGGTTCCCATGAGGAAAACAGCTTTTACTCTAAGTCATACAGAATTAAGTGTTTTGAAAACCTAATATAGTGTTAGGGTATGGATATAGAAAATACAATTTGTACAGCAGAAAAATCATTACGCCTATGGCATGAACCCATAACGATAGGAATATTAGTGTGTGTGTGCGCACGCGCGCGCGTGTGTGATGTGTGTGTGTGTGTGTGTGTGTGAGAGAGCAAAATAATATGTTCTCTAAAATGATAAACTTTCAATAGTAAAATACAATGATAAACCTATTTTGTAGCCTAATAAATGGACAGCATAACAAATGAGATCTTATAATAATAGGTATAAGAACAACTTACTTTAATGTGATAATAGGCCTTATATCCTATACATTTTATATACAGAAATATTTATCTGTTGTAGTGATTGTAAATTGTGACTATATGCTTCTTGTATTAGGCAACATGTTGAAATATACTGTTGTTTAGTGGTGTGATGTCCACCCTGTTATGTCCTGCCCACCCTGTTTCCCCCTCTGTCCACCGTTACCTGTGTTTTTGTGATATTACTAAAATAAGTTCAACAGATGCTTTGCATATATTTGTGGTTACTTGAAATGAAATGTTAAAATGGTTCCAAAATTCCATTTAAATTTCTTTTTATTCTTAAAGAAATGTGATGAAATTACGCTGTGTCTCAAAAATACAACAACTTTTTTCAAGATAATGCCCGATTATGAACACTTTTGCAGACTACAGAGAGGGACATTTTAGCTCTTAGAAAATGTAAATATTACAATAACTGTGCATTCAAAACACTTGTTAATTGAGATGAGAATGTCCTGTAACAGGGTGGACATTTGGTCCTTGCATAAATAATAATATCTTGAGCTGGACCAATATATGTTTTTCTTATAGTGTAACAAGCCCTTCTTCAGATAAAATGATTACATCATGGAAATGTAAATATTTTTTTATGGAAAGTTACCAAGCTGAAATGGCACCGAATAGTAAGAATGACCCACACAACACTGTATGTGTACACTGAATCCAGCTCCACTGAAGACAAGCAGTGTTTTCATATATTCACCGCTGACATGTACAGTGTTGTTACTGCTTCAGTTGAGGGAACAGCAGCAATCAATCAACTCTGACCCGCATTAAATGCTAAATTAGTTGCAAATCATTTAGATAAGCTAGTTACTTCTCTGAAGGCTGTTGCACTGTAAAAGTCAATGCTAATAAATCATTGTGTAACTGAACATTCAGTGAGAGACTGTAAATAAATAGCATAATAAATTGCATCATATAGCTGTATTTATTAGTGATGATGGGAAGAAAAGCTTCAACTGAACACTTCTCAGGTGCACATTTCTTGTTTATGACAGGTTAAAAAATGACAGAATTGTAGTAATAAATATATATACATATAAATCAAATCGAGCCAAAAGAAGGGAGCCTGAACCGACGGCCTGCTGAAAGCGAGTTTGATCTTGTTTGATAATTATTAATGGTGCTGCCATTAATGATTATATAACAAGAACAATCTCTCTTTCAGTGCGGCTCTCTCATTTGCGTATATGAAATAAATATGTTTATAATCTGCAGTATTTATAGTCCCTTTATTAATCTGGATGTTCATCACATTTGACAATAAACACATGTTTTCTAACTACAAGTATTAATATTTCAATAAAAATTATCATTTGGTTTATGTACAATTAAAATAGATATATACAATATAATATAACACGTGAATTCCTTCGATTCCTTTGTTTCTGAATCACTGTCGTAGATAAGTACACACACAATGTCATACTGTCTTATGTTTCTAAAGTTCACTAAGCATGGTTTATTTGTCCACTTCTTTACATATTTGCAATGCATTATCAGAAACTCACTGACGTACACAACAGTACTGAACAAACGTTCCCTTCAAATGAAATCTGGCTTCTGCACAAGGGGTAAGGGTTTGACAATCACACATATTTCACTCTGTTATAGTAGATGTGTTACCAGGGAATTTGTCTGGAGGGCTTTGCTGTGAAATAGACTTTTTAATAGCCGAGTACTGGAAGTTTTCTGACCGGCTCAAACATCGCTTCTAGAACTGAGTTTATTTCCCTTGAGCAGTTTCCAGGCTGTGCACGTCTGGGGCTTTTGGGGCAAAGTGTTGGCCATGATTAAATGTAATTGAATACAGAAGCTAGAGAACGGAGCTTTGTTCATGAGGTCTCGTGTTCACAGTGAATGAGAACACAAAAAAACCTTCATTATATCGTCTAGGGCCGCACAACGATTAGTCACGATTAATCGATTCAAAATCAAAGTTTTTGTTTACATACTATATATGTGTGTACTGTGTATATTTATTATATACGTATATATAAATACACACACATGTATATATTAAGGAAATATATGTTAGATTTATATATAAAATATATATTACATTTTTTTTTAAATATGAAGAGTTTATTTGCAAAAACAGATAACTTTGTTTTTATAAATTTTCTTAAATCATGGTATTATTGCGTTTATTATTATTTAATCAAAACAACACAACAGCAGTTTAATATTAATAAAAAACATGATTTTTGAACATTTAAAAAAACGGAGTTATCTGTTTTCTGGCTTCTGCACAAGGGGTAAGGGTTTGACAATCACACATATTTCACTCTGTTATAGTAGATGTGTTACCAGGGAATTTGTCTGGAGGGCTTTGCTGTGAAATAGACTTTTTAATAGCCGAGTACTGGAAGTTTTCTGACCGGCTCAAACATCGCTTCTAGAACTGAGTTTATTTCCCTTGAGCAGTTTCCAGGCTGTGCACGTCTGGGGCTTTTGGGGCAAAGTGTTGGCCATGATTAAATGTAATTGAATACAGAAGCTAGAGAACGGAGCTTTGTTCATGAGGTCTCGTGTTCACAGTGAATGAGAACACAAAAAAACCTTCATTATATCGTCTAGGGCCGCACAACGATTAGTCACGATTAATCGATTCAAAATCAAAGTTTTTGTTTACATACTATATATGTGTGTACTGTGTATATTTATTATATACGTATAT